CAAAAAAAAAAAAAAAAAAAAAAAAAAGAGAGAGGGAAAGAAATTCCCAGAAAAGCGTCATGTGCCTAGTGAAATATTCCGCTCCACGCGACCCTGCGGTTTCGACGCGTGCAAGAAATCCTCGCCGTCCATCGCGGCCAAAAAGAAGCCACGCAAAAACCCTCCCGAAGCGGTCTTCTTCTTCACGCGCTGCCGCAGATGGTGTTCGTGCTGATGCGCTGCCGCAAAGGACTCACCGTTTATGCGTCGATAGTAATCGTGCAAACAGCTATCCATGCAGTAGTCGCACAAAGGCCGCCTTTTCCAATTGCGGCAACGACGGCAACACTGCTTACAAAGCGCCTCACCGCAAATGCGACAGCGGCGTGATCTTGTCCGTTCATCAAATGGTCGCCCACAGTCGGGGCAAGAGGTGGGATGCGGAAGCTTCTCAAGTTCCTTGCGTCCTATTGGTACCACGCCAACAAAAACCGCCGCCTCAGCCTCGTCTGTTCTGTGGAGTGCAACGATGGTGCCCATTCTATTTATTTCTTTATTCTCCCTGCCCTCTCCTCCGCCTCGTTTAACCCTCACACTATTGCATGCACTTGGAGAGTACTGTCCTCCCTATTTTTTTTTTTCCTTTTTTTTTTTTTTGAGGGGGGGGGAGGGGTTTCTTTTTCGTATCCGCCCGCTTTCCTTTTCTCAAATTGGCAGATGCATCAGAAAAGAACAATTCAACAAGAAACACACGGAATATTTGAGTCCGCACTGAACCGCATTAGAAATTCACCACAAACACAAACACAAATATATATATATATATATATTATTGTTTAACGTCTCGTTTTCTTTTTCTCCTCTTCCCGCCCACTACTGCCTGGACAAAATAACAAAAATGGGGAAACGCCCTCGGGTCTTAGAAATAAAACCAAATTTTTATGTTGGACGGGTGAGGCAGCGGCAATTCGTTTCGTGTCTGCCGCCCCTTTTTGCTTCCAATTCCGTATTCCACCCATTTCACACGCACGCACACAAACGCACCTGAGCGTCTTTACGCATCACTTCTACACTCCGTGCGCTTCCTCTTATTGCCGATCAGTTTTTCCCCCACTGCGGTGTTATGCGTCACATCCTCGCCTCCGTCTTTGTTGTCATCATCGTTTTTTTCATCTTCATCCTCCTCGGAGTCATTCCTCGTCCCTACGGTCTTGCGTGTGCGGGGATCGACGGCGTCGTAGTGCCACTGCGAGAAGATATCCATTTTTTCAAACAAGTTGCCCCCATTTTCCCTCTCAACCTCCCCGATAGCCGTCTCAATTGCCACTTGTCGCGACTCCACAAGAGAAACAGGCACCGCCTCCCCCGCCTCACCTACAATTTGCAGAACATGTACGCGGCCATTACGTCCCAGTACAAGGGCGGAGTTGGTAGCCAACCCCACCATTGCAAGCAAAGGCGAATCCAAGCGCGTCCGAGTGATACCCTCTAAAGCAAATAAAAGTCTATGGTCATCAACACTCTCCATGAGTGGAACAAACACCACATCTTTTGCGTTCGCATAAGCAATAAGAACTCCATGTAAAAAGCCCCTCGCCGCGTGCCTGTCAAATCCACCGTGCGAAGATGATGTGACATACACTACCGATACAACAGCAGCTGCTCCTTCTTCATCCATATCAACTTGTTCCGGTGCACAAATGGATCCAACAATGGTAAATGGCTCCGTGGGCAAAACATTTGTCAAAGTATTATCCGCAGCCCACAAATGCACCTTTCCTTCATAACTTCCAGTCACAAAGTAGGAATACCCCTTCTTTTCCGAAGAATCGGTAACCTCCGCAATGGAGGTTACCACGGACTGTGGTGATTCCGTCCACAGAAACTGTTCAATTCGAAATGTTTCTGGGTAACAGCTGACCCTAACATGGCAGTCCTTGTCGCATGTAAAAAGTCTTCTTGTTTCTTTCATGTCAGGCGTTCCCTGACGGATCGGTGCGGACAGAAAGAGGGCACTCATCACACTAAAGTGCTGCAACAGAAAGATGGGTGCTGCTGCGTCACCTTGCGCCATTGTCAGCGAGTCACTTACTCCCCACACAATAACAAGACGGAACACTTCTCCAAATTTATCTGCAAAAAGGATGGAGTTGCCATCGCAGGTAGCAATATGGGTAATGCGCTTCGTGTGGGGACCAAAGGAAAACAATAATTTCATCTCGCCGGCTCCAACGTCGTTCGCACGGGCATCTGGCGCTAAAAGTGTTTTCATCGTGTTTGCGCGGTACACATTGATGCGTTTGCCGTCACCTCCAGCGGCAACACAAATAGCACCGTTTGGGGCACGCAACAAGGCGACGCCGCGTACAACCTGCCCATCGTTCACACGGAGAACCTCCTCCCCCGCCTCGCTGCTTATTGCAAGAATAATTTTCGTGGTGATGCCCAGCACGACCGCACACCCATCGCGCATGGAGGCAACCGACAGAGTGTAGCCATAAGCCCCACCACTACCAGCAACAAGCATATCCTCCTCCCACAAATTCCTCTTCTGTCAATTCTTTGCCCCAATAACAAACAAACCAGAAAAAAGAGAAAAAAAAAGTCCAAAAAAGAAAAACAACAACAACATAAAGAAAAAAGCAACACTTAAAGAGCAGGAACAACCCACACAGACTTCACAACAGATCAACCGCGGGCACCGCTCAAAACAAACAAACAAACAAAAAAAAATGGGGAGAAATAAAGAAAAATATAAAGATATATTTTATACACTTTTAAAAGTCCACCATTCCTGATTCAATAATCGCACACACAGAATATATATGTATATATAAAGAGGGTATGCCTTAAAAGATTCCACTTGCAGAAACAAAAAGGGCAAACCTCATTGTCAACATCCCCTTCAACAACTTCAGTAAGCACAAGAGTAAAACAGAAATAATTAAATTTAAAGGAAAAAAAAAATTTTTTATTAATGATTTTTTTGTGCCAATAAAGCACAAAATCCGGCCAAATATACGCCCGAATGAGGCCTTGTTCAATATTCCTAGAAGAAAAAGCGTAAAATAAAAAAAAAAAATGATATTGCAGTTTGGCTCAATGCACCCAACATCCCCAAAATTCGGTTGAGGCTCATCCAGCACTTAACTACCCAAAAACAAGTGAAATCAACGAGCATACGCCACCATAACCGGGCTCGTTGTGAGCGGACGAAGCGACAGTCCTTCAAGAGCCTCGCAGCCGCCGGACTCTCCTCAACGCGAAGGAAGGCGGGGGCAGGTAGAATCACAGGAAAACAGGAACCGCACTCGCCGCCCTCCAACGCGGTATCGTTGAAAAGAAAAAACGACTAATGGGTAAAAAGGCAGAGTAGGTGAACAGGACGCAATATTATACACTGAGCTGCATCTGTTCGCACTTTTTTTTCCAAACGTAACTCTCAGTTAAAACAATTTCTCACCTTCATCTCCAAAAATAACGGGGAAAAAACAAAAACAAAAAAAAAATAAATAAACACCTTAACATTCATTATCCTGATTGGGCCAAAAAATACAGCCATGCGCATTTCGAAAGGACAACAGACGCCCATCAATATAACACTTTTACATTCATAATGGTTCCTACGGACCATATGCGTATCCCTGTGGTGGCTGGCCATACGTGTACCCTGGCGGTGCCGGTTGCCCTTGTGGTGGGTGGCCATACGTGTACCCTGGCGGTGCCGGTTGCCCTTGTGGTGGCTGGCCATACGTGTACCCTGGCGGTATCGGCTGTCCCTGTGGTGGCTGGCCATATGTATACCCTGGTGGTACCGCTTGACCATATTTGTATCCCTGTCCCGTTTGCTGTGCTGGCTGTGCATAAAAATTCGGTGCGGCGTTACCGGATGCACCCGACGTTGATATTCCTTGAGATGCAGGAGCCAAATAGGGCGGGGCGCCTGATGAAGTCTTTTTTGGTCGCATCCAGTAGCAAATTAGTGCTGTGCAGACACCAATTTCCAGCAGCAAGAACAGGCACCCAAGAACAATCAGCACAATACCCACGGTGCGCGAATTCAAACCCAAATCATTGGTTCCCTTTGTTAACCGCTGCAGGGCGATGTAAGGATCCTTGCTGCTGTACAGGCGCACTGTAACGGTGCTCGGTACTCCAGGCTGGTAATCGTTATCAAGATCGCCAAAGGCGTACATGGCACTTCGGAGATTGGTGTCCTCGGCGTATTTTCCGTTGCTGACCTCACGAACAACAAGGTACAATTTCCTGAGGTACAGAGTCTCCAGACACTCACCGCAAATATTGCCCGCCTTACACCACGTGGGTGTTTGGTTGTAACTTCCGCCCCTGGCGGTACATTTCTCCCCAAAACTGCGGACATCGCGTTTGCACTTGCAATCCTTTCCGTCTATGCAGTCACTTGAAAAACAGAAGTATGTAGAGTTTCTCATAATATTGAAGGGGGCCATGCGAATAAAAGGGGTCACGGCGCTAACATTCACGGAAACTGGAAACTCTGATAAAAAATTCTCAGAAACAGGAACAACAGCCTCCGCAAAGACAGAAGTGGCCCCGTCCACACCCTTGACATTTAGCGACTCGCGTCTCACAGTAATCGGCACTTTGTTGATGGTCCCAGTCCAATCGTTCATGGGTGTGGGGTCAAATTCATTCACGGCATCTCTGAAAGCTTTTCGAAGGTCCTTTTGATTGAGAAGTATGCTGCCCGCGATGATGAGCGCAGGGCCACCGATGATGAGGCAGCAGGCACACGCCACAACACTCTTAAAAAAGTCCTCAACCGCATCAACGATGCCAAACAAACACATTGTAAATTTCCTTCTGGCAACAGCTGCAACCATAGAGTGAGAGAAGAAAGCAGAACGAGGTGCAAAGACAAATAAAGAAAGCAAAGCAAAAAGACGCATCATCACTCGGCACATTGCCGCCGACAATTCCAGCATTATAGGGCGCTCATCATCTGAGCATTTCGTCAAGTCGAAAAAAAATCCCTTTTTATTCCTCCATCCATTCATTCCTCAGAAGCATATAAACGCAGACACAAAAAAACACAGACACACAAAGAAAAGAAAA